CCCCCCCCCCCCCCCCCCCCCCCCCCCCCCCCCCCCCCCCAAAAAAAAAAAAAAAAAAAACCAACACCAACATAGAACATTGGGAAAAAATCCAACCAGCTCTTTATGAAAAACCTAAATGCAAATGCATGTCACAAACCTTGAAAATGCCCTCCACGAGCATCTCTCCTTCTGCTACAACGACGGTGTTCTCTGTAAACAGGCCTGTAGTTATCTTGTGCTGATTGTTAAAGAAAATCAAATTCTAAGTCATCTTCAAATATCAAACAAGTTTAGACTTTTCCAAATTATAGAGGACGTCTGTAAAGGATATAGCACTAGATAAATTAATTTCCACAGACGCAGTAAGGTCCTCCAAGTAAAAGTGACCATCCTCCATCTGAGAGATCACTCCCATGACCCATTTCCTCCCAGTTTGCCCCACCAGAGACTGAATAGGAGAAATCTGGGGAACATATCACAAAAGAAATTGCCGTAAATACTCAGGATCAACTGCAGAGGGTACCAAGGCAAGTTCAAGATCAAGAGAAATGGAGTACCTCACAGCTTCCAAAATGAGACATGCCACTGTCAAAAGCGGGTTTTGAGAAATGCTGATCTCGGGAGAGCCTCTGAGAAAGTAGGAGAAACCTATCTCTATACAAAGCAGCTTTAGCAGAAGCATCCCCATGAATTGGAAGGCTTCCTGTGTGCCTAAAATTAAAAATAAAAAAAAGAAAACGATTTGATCCAAGAACATGTAGTTTCAAATGAATGGAAAAGAAATGTTTTAAACAAGTTATCAGTTGAACTCCACTATATGTACATCTCTCTTTTCTGCAGGAAGTTTACCCAAAAGTCCAATTGGCGGTTATCATTCTTCAATTGTTCACCAATTACTCAGATAAATATACAAGGTGGGAAAACATAAATATACAAGGTGGGAAAACATAAATATACAAGGTGGGAAAACATACATGTAGAAGATCTTCTTGATGGGATCATAACGATACTTGGAGATATCAAAAGCGTCTATGATGCAAAGTGCCGATGTACTAGTACTGGTATCGGGACATTCTTCTCCCGCTTCATCAGCTGCAAGTAGAATACTGACAACCCGATGCACCGCATCCTTGTCTATTATCGAAGATTGCACTGCCATGGTAGCAAGAAAACGACGAAATCGTCCATGAGAAGGAATGAAATGACCTACAGTATGAAAGAAAAAAAGAGATATAGCATTACAGGATTCGTCATGAAGATGGTCGAGAACCAAATCTATGGCGTCGTCTTCGCAGCCATCGAAACGAGAGGCAAAGGAAACAATTTCTGCGAGAGCATCTAGTTTGATGCTGTAACCTCTGATTTTTGATTTCCTCTGAACCTTTCGCCTCAGAGTGGATTCGTCCATCTTCACTGCAGGAATCTGCGGAATGGGAACGACTGGAAGACGATGGAGTTGAGAATGTTGGATTGATTGGCGGCAATCTGCATTCTTACTCCCTGCGTTGGAGGGAAAATCAAATTGCTTCACTAAACCCTAACAATGTTGAACTAACATTCTTTTAATTTTTTAGGTTTTGTGTCTAACTCTTTGAATATTCTCTAATAAGATGTAAGATCCCATTTTATAATTTAATTTTTATTTTCAAATTCGTGTTTGCTTTTTCACTTTCTTTTTTCCTTAAAATATTTGAATTTTTAATCCAATTTTCTTTTTTTTTTTTTTTTTTAACTTAAAAAATGAGAATAATTATATAATTAAATAAAATTATGTAAATATAATTATATGGACGTTGTTTCGGTTCAACTCAAATTGGTTCTAAAAGAACTCATGAACCAACTCAACTCAGTCTAAAAAAAATGATACTCAAGCATAAACTGAAGCAGTTGTGTTGGGTTGAGAATCAAGGAGATATCGTTGTTGCATAGCTTAGGTTGTAGCCATATGCCAAACGTTTAATAGACAGTTTTATGATAGGGCATGAGTGTCCGAAAGTTGTCATTTGTATACTCCCGAGAGTCGGAAGATAGCGAGGCGGTTGGATCAAGGAGATCTCGTTGTTACATAGCTCAAAGTCGTAGCCACACACCATCAAATATTTAATAGACGATTTTCTGATAGGGCACGAGTGGCCAAAAGTTGTCATTGTATACTCTCGAGAATCGGAAGATAGCGAGATATCGTTGTTGCATAGCTTAGATTGTAGGCACACGCCATCAAATATTTAATAGACAGTTTTATGATAGGAAATGAGTGCCCAAAAGTTGTCATTGTATACTTCCATAGGTCGCATAGCTCAGGTCGTAGCCACACACCATCAAACATTTAATAGACGGTTTTCTAATAGGACACGAGTGCTCGAGAGTTGTCATTGTATACTCTAGCAGGTCGCATAGTTCAGGTCGTAGCCACATGCCATCAAACATTTAGTAGACCGTTTTCTGATAAGGCATGAGTGCTTGAAAGTTGTCATTGTATACTCCCGCAGGTCACATAGCTCAGGTCGTAGCCACACACCATCAAACGTTTAATAGACAGTTTTCTGATAGGGCACTAGTGCCCAAAAGTTGTCATTGTAGACTTTCGAAGGTCAAAGATAGCGAGACAGTTGGATCAAGGAGATATCATTGTTGCATACCTTAAGTCATAGCTACATGCCATCAAACGTTTAATAGATGATTTTCTGATAGGGCACGAGTGCCCGAAACTTGTCATTGTATACTCTCGATGGTCAGAAGATAAGTAAGGCAGTTGGATCAAGAAGATATCGTTGTTGCATAGTTCAGGTCGTAGCCACCCACCATCAAACGTTTAATAGACGGTTTTCTGATAGAACACGAGTGACCGAAAGTTGTCATTGTATACTCCCGCGAATCGGAAGATAGCCTGGGGAGGAGGAGGAGGAGGACAAACCGGGATCCGAAACAGAGGCAAAGTTTTAAATAGAAACATTATAGTTCATCTCTTTCATCATATCATCAGCACTCAAAGTCACAAACACAATATTCACCAGAAACAAGAAAACTGAAGACAATCAAACAGGCAAGCCAACACACAGAGCTGACTTAAGCAAGCAAGCACACTAGCAGGCACCAGTTCTCTTGCCATCCACAAGCCTCTTCCAATATGCAGCTATTTCTCCTTCAATTTCCTTATCACTCTTCTTCACATGCTTTATAATTCTCTCACCATCTTCTTCTTCAGCTGCTTTCACAGCCACCCGAACCGGCAGCGCATCGACTTCCTTCAGGACTTTATTGATGTCCGAGATCAGTCTCTCTGCCAAACTCCGGCTGAAGTCCTCCCTGATCACGACACGTAGCACGGCGATGTGCTGAGCATCTGGTGGCATCGTGTAAGCTGGCACGATCCATCCAAACCTCCTTAGGTTCTCGGATATCTCGAACACGGTGTGCTTGGTGCTGTCTTTGAGAGTGAAGGCTACTAGGGGTACTCCAACATTCTTGGAAACAACCTCAAACCTTCCCATCTTCTCTATTCCTTCTTTCAACACTCTTGCATTCTCCTTGCAGTTCTCCATCACGTTTTTGTATCCCTTTGTTTCAGACAAACATCATATAAATTTACATAAGGAAGCTAGAGCAGAGCAGATTAGATCAAACGATGTTCGTGTCAAGAAATATAGCAGACAAACTAACAAATCGTGCACGAATTTCTTAAAACAAACGTTAGCTAAAACTTTGGATTTACCTCGAAACCGAGCCGTATGAACTGATAATACTGAGCAATGATTTGGCTAGAACCTGTCAAAACATTCAGCAAATGAACAAAGAAAAAGGAGGGGAAAATTGTTCACTACATCTTAAGAACTTGATTCTAAAGTCAAGAATCTAACGTCCCATCATGTTCGGGCATACTCGAAAACATGTCTTTAATCATTCAAACATACCCGAGGTGACCCGAGCAGGCTAAATCAATACTCAATTCAACTACCCTGACAGAGAGATGATATCAAAACTTTCAAGTGCTATCTATTTGTTCACTAATTCAAGTACCTTTAGAGAAGTTAAGAGTGAAGGTGGGTTGATCAGAACCAAGATAGTTAATATGGAACACAAGCTCATCAGGAAGATCCTCTTTACTCCTCCAAACAACCCATCCAACACCAGGATAAACAAGCCCATACTTATGGCCACTAACATTGATACTCTTCACTAAAGGCAACCGAAAATCCCACTCGAGATCGGGATAAAGGAACGGAGCTATAAACCCACCACTGGCTGCATCGACATGAATTGGGGTATCCCAACCTGTTTCCTTATTCTTCTTAGAGAGCAGTTCATTAAGGAGTTTTACATCCTCAAACTCTCCTGTCAAAGTGGATCCCAAAATGGCTGCAACACAAATGGTGTTCTCATCCACAAGTTCAACAGCCTTCATAGGATCCATAACATAAAACCCTTCAGAAAGCTTCACCTCCTTCAGCTCAACCTCAAAGTACCTAGCAAACTTCTCCCAACACACCTACACACAGGATTCATTCAAGAACATAAAAGCCCCATTGAAGGCTTGATTGATACTCATTTCAAACAATTACTTAAACCATGAGCTCAAAGTACCTGCACATTGGCTCCAGTGACTATGTTGGGGTTATGACAGGGCTTGCCTTGAGATCTTCTTTTGTTCTGCCATTTCCTCTTGAAAGCAAGACCCGCCAGCATAATAGCCTCTGATGATCCCACAGTCCCTACACCAACAGCAGCCTCATCTTCTACAATGGGGGCATGAAACAGGCGAGCTATCATATTCACACATCGATTCTGCAAAAGAAAATACAAATTACAAAGTACACCATAGAACCTTCCTTGAGGCCTATGTAGTCTTCGAAGAGCCTCGAGAGGCTCGACTCCTTTCTCTGGAGCCCTCAAACAAAGTATACTCTTTATTCGACACATGAGTCACTTTTGACTACACCTTCAAGACTAGCAATTTCTTTGTTCGATACTTGAGGTTTCTATTGTCATGGCTAAATTAAGAGCATGACTCTGATTCTATGTTAGGAATCATGACTCTCTACAATGGTATGATATTGTCCACTTTGAGCATGAGCTCTCGTGGCTTTCAGGCTTCCCAAAAGACCTCGATAGGGTTCCTTACTTATAAACTCATGACCAACCAGTTAATTAGCTCTCTCCCAACAACCCTCAACATCATATTCACACATCCATTCTACAAAAGAAAATACAGATTTCTCCATGTTTTGGAACAAAATCACCAAGAATCAACCAAGACAGCCATTTGGGTTCAAATAAAAAGCAAAACCTGGAGCTCAGTGGTGACAGGGTACTCATCCATGTCCACATAGTTCTTGTTGAGAGAAGCCATGATCAGGTTATCACATTCAGGCTCCATCCATGTGGTAACAAAGGAGGCCAAGTTCAACCTGGGTATCCCGTCAAGCATCAACTCATCATGTATGATCTGGTACGCTGCATCTTTGGGTATCGATTTCTCCCCCAGATTGAACCTGTAATATAATACCCATTTCATCATTTTCATTTTTCAACACAAAGCACAAGAGTTTCCAAGGATTTAGCCTACTTCGGCGGTGGAGACCGGACATATCTGGAACCAAAAGTGCAGTTCACAGATTCGCCGGAGTCTGCTACTGTTGTCAAAACCATATTTGATATTCAAACAGAGGAGAAAACAAGAGATTATGGAACAAACCCAGATCGGATGAGGGTTGCGATCATATAACTTCATCTTCAATATCAAAGGAGTTGATTACATGATCGCGAGAAGCAACGAACAGACACGTATCGCATTCGGGTCCCACCCATTTCTCTCTTCAATGATGCTTCACATCCACAGCAGTGTTCATAGCACTTCAGCAACTTTTTCGTGCCCCCAATTGAACAGTTAGCGGGTTTCCGCGGCTCAAATGATTATGACATTTGATTTTAATGAGCTGGTGAAAGTAATTAGGAAGGTTGGCGTTTTCGACATCTCCTCTTCTAAAATGGGAGTGGTTATGGGACGTCGTACTCTTCGGAACTCGATCAGATATCATTTTTCTACTTGTTTGAAAGCGTTTGATATCATTTTTATATGGGTTTTTACTTCCAATTCCTATTGCATCATCTTTGTCAAACATAATACTCATGTCATAGTATGTTTTTAGCATGGGAATGATCTTAAATGAAAAAAATGAACTATCAACAAAGTATATTAGAACAATAATTTAAATGTGATAGAACGATAATTTAAATGTGAATTCATGGTTTTACTCTTAATCTGTAATCAAACGCCTCTTTATCTATTTCGATTCACTTGAACTCTTTATTCTAACCAAATATGCTACATGTTAGTTTGAGCATCTCTACAACTATTGTGTATTATTTCTCGAGATTTCTGACTTTGTCATCTATAGTTTGGCGTCCCTTTCAAATTGCAACTTCCTAGTAACTTCTCATCTAACAACTCTGGTAATGGTTGCAAGTAGTCACAAAAGATAATTAAGAACTAACTATTTTTAAATACTCAAGCCAAGTTTACTATTTTATCAAATAAAGATAAAGTTCTATGTACATAAAACTGAAGAGACCATTGAGTCATTAGATTTCTACATTTAAGTAATAGAACAGGTCAATAACATCTAGTTCAAAGTTTGACAATAGATATTAATTTTTTTTTTCAATTTTTAACATTGAAGTCCATGATAACATTTTCAAATGACTTCTCGTACACAAGAGTTTGAGAAGGTGGGACGCTATCTCGCCTCTTGACCGAAGGGTCATACCCCCATTTCCTTGTTCATCATATTTTAGGAAAGAGTGTTAACTTCGTCTAACCTAAACAAAATGTATTAAAAATGGAATTCTTATCTCGTCGAAACTACCTTGCATCATGCCTACATCTCTCGGTACCAAGCTATCTGTCCCTATTATAGAAAAGTAGACTGCCCTCACGACCGACACTCTACCTAAGAGTTGAGTTGAGACTTATACAGATGTCAATTGGAAAGGAAAGGGCGTGGCACGGCGTTGACGTTCCTAAGATATAATAATGAACACTGTAATATCATATTCCTAGAAGTATGAGAATGGGTCCTATACATTGACAAGTGGAAGGGATCGAAATCAAACGGAAATTGATTCCTGGTGTCGTCTTGCTCTCGAATTAACACAATAAATGATGCCATTCTGCCCCACAGTTACCACATTCGTCCTAAAGTCTTCATTTTTCTTTTTCTTTCTTCAATTTGTCCAACATCCTATTATTATTAATGTTAATCTCGTCTTCAACCACCATGGTCGTCATATATTTTCTTTTCAATGCACATTCGGGTCATGTATCTATCAAAATTTCTCTTTTTTAACCAAAATATCCTTGCAAGTTTGAGATGAGAGATTTAATGGCTCTTCCCGAAACTTGTAAGTTGCTCTATTGTGCTGTTAGAATGTCACGTCACATGAGGATCGGATCATATACTATCTTTGATATATCTTTATAATCGCAATATGTAACAAGACCATTTTCATAGACCTTAATGACCAATCATACAAAATTTAAGGCAGCTCATCAAATGAGAAATAAAGAGCTATCTTTGCATCAAACTTCCCAACTCCAAAGTGCTCAATCGCAAGCATACTTGTATACAACTTTAGCAATATCCAGTCCAAATACTTGTATTAAATGCCTTCCCAAATATTTACGCAATGATTCATTTATTTATTTGAGATTCAAATTAGGAGTGAAGTCTTAACCACACTAAATGATACAATTGGGCTCCTTATTCTCTAGAGTGGAGGTTCTTGTATTACCGGACAACAGTTGGAATAATTTCATTAAAGAATCGTATCATGAAAGAAGGCACCGACAATTGAAAAGATGCAATGTTGCAAGAACTTAATTGAATGAAGCAAAATAATTTTCATATTTAGTTTAATGCATAATGGAAGAGTATTTATTATTCGTTAATTGAGGTTTTAATGAGCATATAAAACGCATTCACCTGGTCGTCCTAAATAGCTGGATCTTTGTATCTTCGGAAAATAGCTTCAATATCTGCCATCACTTCTGCCGGCAACGGCCGCTCGGTCGATGTGAAAGCATCAAGGTCTTCTCTCAGTTGATCCATGGACGTTGCACCGATTATCGAACTCGTCATGAATGGTCGATCTCGAGCGAACCCAAGTGCAAGCTGAACAGGAGTTAGGCCGTGCTTTTCGGCCAACTGGACGTATTCAGCTGTTGCTACCTGAAGTCGACAAAACATTAGAACAAAACATCTGCAGGACAGTTCAAATTATGGCAATAAATTGAGGGCAACAACATTAAGGTTGTGACAGTTCAAATTCTGTTAAAAGAAATGGCATAGTGAACTCATAAGTAAAAGACACCAACACGTTCCAAACATTTTAAGCTACTGTGCTATTCTCTTGTCTAATCATTCAGCAGAACAGGAGAGAGGGAACAAACCTTAGCAAGAGATTTAGTGTATCTATCCATGAATCCGGGGAAGAGGTTCAGCCTTCCTTTTCCTGTACCTTGAAAACTACCATCCAAGTATTTGCCACTCAGCGTTCCACCACCCAAAGGAGAATAACCAAGCAAGCCGATGTTGTAGTTATTTGGATGACAAACCTCAGCAAGATCGACTGCAGGTAATGAGCGGATGATATTTTCATTACAAGTGAACAAATACTAAAGGGAGCATCAATTAATCATGGTTGCAGTTATCCAACTCATTATTTAAATCATTTTAAATTCATAAATTATATGTTGATTATATTGTTGGTCCCACGTTTGTTAATTAAGGGGAATATCATGGGTATATAAGTAAAAGACACTATCTCCATTGGCATGAGGACTTTTGGAGAAACAAAAAGTAAAGTCATGAGAGCTTATCCTCAAAATGGATAATATCATAATTGTGGAAGTTCGTTGTTCCAAGAAAGTGGTATCAAAGCTATGTTCATAACTTAGTCATGTCAATAGAATCTTTCAATGTCGAACAAAAAAGTTGGGAAGAAGGTGTAGTCATAGTGAAAATTCATGGTAGAGCTCTATTAGATTGGCGAGGTAGAGAAAAGGAGTTGGCCTATAGCTAAACGGATAAGGGGAGACTCAATGGCATTTTGTTCGAGAGGAGGATTGTTGGAGTCCCACATAGGTTTAGTTAAGGGAAAGATCATGGTTATGTAAATAAGAAACACTACTTCTAGTGGCACAAGACCTTTTGGAGAAACCAAAGGTAAAACCATGAAAGCTTATGCTCAAAGTGGACAACATCATACCATTGGCTATATATGATCACAACCCAAAACCCTGAGCCCCAATTGGTCATATTTCACTGAACAAGGTTGATAGTTAATATGTGCCATCTACATAGTATTTTTGTCTGCAAGATCCTTAAAAGTCAGTTTGAATGAACTAGATCTACAAAGCTATAAGGAGTCTTTTCTAAATGTGACCAAAATCACTAAAAAGGCTTGTTTTGATCTTTCCAAGATCACTTCCAAACATTTCTAAGTTGCATGGTGGTGAGAACAATTACATTTTTGCTGGAAGGTGGAAGAAATAGAAATCTAAAAAATGTTCCCTGCTATCTCCAATAAAAACACATCAACGGGGTCATAAAGCATCAAATATCAAAAAGGCGAAAGAATCTTTAAAACTCTCAATAATTAAAACCGAGAGAAACATATCAAAAGATAATTTACCTTCAAAGCGGCATCTGTTAAGAAGACTGTAATTATTTTGGATACTAATGATCTTTGGCAGTCCTTCAATTTTTGCTGTGTGAACAAATTCCATAACTCCATATGAAGTTTCATTTGAGACACCAATGTAGCGTATCTGAATAAATTCAGAATCACATATCAACTAGAGTGAAGCAAAAGAACAATACACAACGAAAACATTGTAGTAAACATTAATCTATCAGCAATTTTACATATTCATAATTCCTCAATCGACCAAATGATTTTTGCTAGCCATGAGATTGTATCTCAGACAAAGAAAAAATGCATTTCATAGTGAGTATTCCAGTTACATGCAGTTTGAACAATGCAGCTCTTCAGTAAACTGATTCCTACCTTAGCTTTAAAAAAATCAAGACACGACGTATTCCAAACTTAACCAAATAGGAACAACCTTTCCTTCTTCAATAAGTTCCTGAAACGCCTTCAGTTGCTCTACAAAAGGCACACTTGGCCTCCATTTTGAAGAATCGTAAGAAAAATCACCAAATAATGGCACATACCGGTCTGGCCTGAATTGAAACCAAACACATACTAAGATACAACAAGGAGAAACACAAGATAAATCGAAAGAAAGGAAGACAAGTTATAAAAAATTATCACAAGTAAGTGCTTCTAGCTTCCGAGATGCAGTGCACACTTAGTAGTTCCTTTATCTTTTTCAGTTTTTTTTTTTTTCTTTATTAATATATAAAGAAACCCACATTCATTGAGAGATGTGAAAGTACAGAAGAGAAGTCTCATACAATATCTCAGGCTGGCCAAGGAGCTAGGATTAAAAAAATGATTCCATTTGTTAATGGTTAATAATAATAAGGGATAATCACGAAGACCCACAAGGAGAAGACATTGAAGTGAGCAATGCTTCAAACCTCCAAATTATGAAAAACAGTCTTATTCCTATCGAGTCGGAAACTTCAAACAATTCGAAAAAATCAGCCTGCCGTGAAAGCATCTCATTCTTGCAAAAAGGGGGTTAGGAGGTCCTACTCCA